CCCCCACCTGGCAGCGCGGGTCCCCCACTTGCACGCGGTCCCCCAACTTGCAGCGGTATCCCCCCACTTACACCGCGTTCCCCTACCTTGCACCGCGGCCCCCCGCCTGCACCGCGATCCCTTACCTGCACCGCGATCCCCCCCGCCTGCACCGCGATCCCCCTACCTGCACCGCGGCCCCCCGCCTGCACCGCGATCCCCTACCTGCACCGCGGCCCCCCGCCTGCACCGCGAACCTCGTGCTCAGCGGGCCTGTTGCATGGGACTGGAGCTGCCGATTCCGATGCAACCACCGGCGCCGGGGAAGCGAGCACAGCAGGTGCAGCTGCCCCTGCCCCCCCCCCCCCACCTCTACTCCCGCCGCTGGCCGGCTGGCCCAGCCCTGGCTCCTCCCCAGTAACTGGTCTCACTAGTGGGTTTCAAACTTCCTGGCCTCGGGACTCCCACGCGCTCCTTTGCTGCTGCTGTTAATCCTCCCCCGAGGGTATGTGTCCATTGACTTAGAGAGTGGAAGGGAGGAGAAGAGACAAGAGGGAAACATGATGGGAGAGAGATGCACAGATGGGTTGCCTCCCGCAAGCAACGCACACAACCGAGGTCGTGCCCTTGACCGGAATGGAACCCGGACCCTTCCTCCCTGGGCCCACGCTCTACCCACTGCGCCACACCGGCCAGGGCAGGGCTCCGCACCTGTTCGCGTGGGGTATGCCTGTTGATATCGGCCATATTAAAACACTGTAACATTAAAGTAACAAATCCACTTCACATTAACAAAGAACATTTTTATGAAAAAAAGAACGCCCGCCCTTCCACCCCCCCGATAGTGAAAACCTCTGTCTGGCTTAAGAGAAGGCAGCTGGGTTGGCCCGGGAACTAAGGCTGGGGCCGTATCAGGCGTGTGGCCCCCGGAAAACTCCTCTGTGCGCTTGAGAGCGAGCGAGACTGAAAACGGCAAATGATGTTTTATCAGGAAAATCCTTTTTGACCTTCAACGCCTCCTAAAAGGGCCTCGCGGGGTCTCCAGGGTTCCCCAAATGACATGCTGAGAACCGGGGTCCAAGGAGATCCAGGCATTGGTTTGGGACAGGAAAGGGGAGGGCGCTGCTCGGGGGCGGGGGGAGGGGGAGGGGCAGGGAGAGGGGTAGCCTGAAGACCCCCCAGGAGACCCGGAGACAGGACTCTGCCTGGGAGGAGGGGGCAGGACCGCATCCATCCACAGCTTCCATCCGAGGTGAAACCAACACAACAAACCTCAGAGCCTCCAGCCGAGCCCAGAGGAGCTGCTCCTGCCCTGGGCTTCCTGTTGTGCGAACTTGAGGCGGCCCTGGGGACCCTCGAGGGGGAGCGGACGACTGACAGGGGGAACTAGGGGCAGCCAGGAGACGTTTCTATTGAAGAACGAATGTGGGGGAGCGAAGACTGAGGGAGACCTGGGCGGCCACATCGCCGGCACACACCGTCCTGGTCTGTGGCTCTCAAACCAACCTGCTCTCCCAGCGTCTCTCCTCCCCATCGCCCCGCAGTCCTGCTCCAGAGACGCCACAGAACTCGGACCCCGAGCAAAGGGCACCTCTAATGAGGGTAAAGGACAGCGTCATTTCTTAAATGATTCTTTATTCATAAACTTGATGCAAGTTTACAAAATTTACTGTACATTGCCAAATAAATCTGCAATGAAAAATAAACTCCAAATAAAAACAAAGCATGCCAAATGTGCAGCTGTCAACCTGCTAGCCATCAGGATATTAAAGAATTCAATAATGTATTCAAGATCCAGCCTTAGGTTTAAGGAACTGTAATGCTTTAAAGAATTCTGCCTTGTCGTTGTCTGAGCCACTGTATCAGAACTGAGCACAGAGGTCACCACGTGCGCAAACCCAGGACGGCCTCCCCCGCGGCCCCACACGCTGCGGCCCTGCAGCCGTGCAGGGCTCTCCCAGGCGGCTTACAAAGTTGAAAACTGACTCTCAGAGCAAGTGCCTAAGAAACACTTTGGAACTTTGTAAGTGATTTGTGCAGAAAATGTGCTTCTGGGTTTCATTTAAAAGTGCTTAATAACTAGACCTTACTTTTAAATCAAACGTGGGAATATAAAAAATCTACTTCCAATCAAACAGGACTGATTCAGGTAAGGCAAGAGAATGGAGAGGGTACTGATCTGAGTCAGGTTTTATAAAAGAACTAACGTGTGTAGAGTTCCTATTAGTCTTTAAGTAAAAGCCATTGTTATGACTGTAGCAAAAATTTTTAGGTCTCCAAGTGAGGGATCTGTTTGTCCTTAGGAGTCTGTCTGTGTGCCAATCACTTTATAAGCTTATTAGTTTACAAACGATTGCAACATCCCGTTAATAAAATGGAAATGTAAAATGACTTAGTATTTTAAATAACTTCAAGATCTAGACTGCAGATCTTCCTCAGACATATTGAACCAGTAACAGCTTCAGCCAGCAAGCCCGATGCCGTGGAATCACCGCCACAGCTGACGTGCTTGCGTGGCCCCACCTTGCAATTCAGTTTAGAGCATGTCTGTGGGAAATGGCCCCAGAGAGGCCATAAAAAGTGTAACAATTCCTGGAGCAGGTTTTCTGTCGTTATTTTGGCAACCGGAAAAGGCTACGGTGATCGAGAAGACCTTAAATTTCCTAAACCGACAGGAACACCCAATCACCTTTATTGGCGCTAAGGGGACGGCACACTGCGAGTCCTCACAGGGAGACGTCACCTACGGCTGCAACTCCAGGACCTGGTGCTGACCTGCCTGCTAACAGATTTCATTTTTCAAGAAAAAGAGATGATAAGGAGTGGCCAGTGTGTGTATTTATCAAGAAAAATACAGGAAAGGCCCCACTGCTGAGTCCAAGATACCTACAATGAGCAAATGAGAGGCTGTAACTTATGCAGGATGTCAGGTGACAGAGTATCCACTAAAGTGTCTATCAGCTAACGTCGTCGGGCTGCTGTTATGGGCACTCGAAGCTGGTCTGCACGGTGGGAAGGTTTCTTTAAAGCAACGTTGGTCCGAGCCTGGGGCAGTCCGTCCACTTAGCCGTCTTCCTTCGGGGGGGTGTACCAGCCTGAAACAGGGGGGGAGACACTTTAGTTCTGAAACGGACGTGTTATTAAGGTTGGCTACGTCCTCGACGCGTCATTTTCATGGTTAAACCTACTGCAAAGTTAAACTCACACGGACTGGTAACAGCACTTCCACGTTTAAATACAGACACTCGATTGCCAGAGGGGTCCCTGCCCGCCGGATGCGCGCCTGAGCCCACAGTGGGCAGAGCGCGCTCACCCGGGAGCAAACGAGCAGCACCGGGCGACTCGCGCTCCCTGCCTGGCGGGAGCTGTGGCTCGAGGCCGCTGTTCGGCATCTCGAGACCATCACACCACGTGCACCGCTGCCCCGGAAAGATCCGGATTCAAATCCAAAATATGGTTCCTCTGAATCGTATCCTTCCACACCCTCATGAAGTCAAAACTCCTGAGTCCAACCAGTGTCAGCTGGGGACCGTCTGTATACAGTCATTTTCTACGAATAAACTGTACATGAGCTTTCAACGTACGATCTCCAATTACTGGCTTTTGCTGAAGGTAAGTGTGGAATACTGGACTAAAGCTAGGCTTCATACTCCACTCAGATTCCATGTTTAACAGTAACCCGCCCTGAAAACACTCTCCCTCAACAAAGTCCTGGCGCCAGAGCCAGAGGCCCGGGGCTGTGGTCGGTGGATGAGACGCTGCGACCAGCAGCGAGGAAGCCGTGAGCGGGGACCCAGCGACGGGACCCGAGACCCCTCAGCAGGAGCCAGACGGAGGCACCTCCTGGCTCTGCCCTCACAGCCCACACACCCTGACTCGGGGCTGGAGAGGACGGTTAGGAAGCCCAGACTTGCCAAGTTTGAGCCTTTCCCGCTTCAGAACCCTGAAGACGGTTTTGGATACAGGAAACCTCGCTTCATGTCTCGAAGGTTTGCTTCTTTACACGCCGAGGGCGACCCCCCACCCGCAGGAGCATCAGGCCGCTGTCCTGTGGGCTCCCCTCGGCCTGGTCTGCGCCCAGACCCAGTACCTCCGCGCGGCCCGTGCCCGCCTCTCAGAATCAAACAGTCAACACAAGTGACAAGTTCCCGTCGTCATTAAAATGACGTGAGCACAAAACACAGCTCCCGGCCACAAGCTGGCACAGGCCCAGCACAGCAGGAAGAGTTACTGTCAATTCTCCTGAAGGACAAGGACTTGGCGTTTCTTTTCCTCACGCCCTGTCCTCTGCACACAGAACGCACCATCTCCCCAGCTCGACGGCGACGACCATCCCCCCAGCACTGAGCTGCGAAGGCCGCGCACACTCTGCCCTTTTTCCCTCTCGAGTTTGGAAGACAGACCTCGTGCCAATCTGAGACGAGGAGACTGAGGCAGAGGGCACAGGACTGTTCGAGGCCACAGAGCCGGCGAGTGGCAGAAACGGCACGGAAAACAGGTCTGATTCCAAGTCAATCTATTACCTCAGTCAGAGACAAGACGCAAACATGCGCAGAGAATACAGCAAAGCTTAGGTGAGGCCGATGAAGCTTATGAAATATACTCGATATTAGAATTAGCCTGAGTGACCAGCATGCAGGATCGGCGAGGAGCAGCCACCGCCGGGAGGGGCGGGCCAGGCCCTGCTGATTCATCGCCGTTGAAGGACCTGCGCTGGCCCGGGCCCCGCCACAGGCAGACACTGAGCTCCTGCCCCAACTCCACACACTTCAGAGGGGTCAGAGGACCCATCTGCTCAGGGATCTGCTCAGGGATCCTGACTCTGACTCAGAGGCTCTCAGGCCAAGTATCTGGAGCCACGACTTGGAAGGAAGCACAGGGTGTGGGTCCCCAAGTGGAGTTTTCTCAGGGGTGACTGTACTTGACAAGATACTAAAGCAAAGCCAACAATAAAACAGGATACATATCAGCAGTACATGATGCAAAACAAACGGCAATAAATACATGTGGAATTGAACATACCGTTTTTCTCGTGTATCTGTACAATGGAATTATAAGACTGCTGGGCTCTTGCTAGATTATATTGATTCTGAAAGAGAAATATACATTTTAAATCAAAACTCTAAGCAGATGAAAATCATGGCAAATAATTGATGGATGTGTCACACTGATAGTCAGTGACAAAAGTGATATAAAACTTATATCACTTTTCATGTTATAAGTTTTACCTTCCAGGATTCTAAAGTCAGCAGGGAATAGTCTGTTCACTTTAAAAATGCTGCTATCCAAAAAGTAAGGTGCTAAATGATATTTAAAAATATGCTGTCGTGTGTGTGTGTGTGTGTGTGTGTGAGAGAGAGAGAGAGAGAGAGAGGGAGGGGGGGAGGGCTATGGTATATAGAGAATATAGTATATAGAGAGTATATAGAGTGGAAATGTAAAAATGTAAAGCAATTACATTGACATTGACTGATTCCAGGACCATAGCACTAAATACAGAATACTGGATTTGTAGGGTTATAAGCTGGGAGAGGCTTAAACCATCCAGACAGTCGTATTTCAGATCAAAATACAGAAGCCCAGAGAGCTGAGCTTACATGGCGGGTTACTGGTGAGATGCTCTTTCAGTCAGAAAGATCACTGCTCTAAGCCCTCTGTATTTTCTCCGTAAGGAAATACCAACAGTATTTCTATACAGTCTACTTACAGAGGACTTTTTAGGTTTTTGCATGTGTCCTACTTTAGACACTATACAGTAAGCATCAATCTTGTCATTAGAAAAATAAAATTTTGGTATTATATACTTATTCTGTTGGTACATTTAAAGCATCTGAAATATAAACACTGTTAAAAAAAACTAGCTAAAAGTAGTTAAGCAATTCATTGGTGTTCAATAAATAACTTCTAGGTTTTATACAAAATGGTATTTTGTTCCAGTGTAAAGAAATAGCTGATAAAAGAGCTAAACGTAAAAATGAGTTACTTTGTAATATTATCCCAAATAAATGGTTTTTTAAAAATAGCCTTTTTTGCTTCCTCTGAGTTAGGATTCTAGTGGACTCATGATGGGACCTGTACTACGGTTATAAATACATATTTAGATTTAATGCTATTTGGCACTGAACACACAATTCACACAGACCTTTAGGAACGGCTGAATGTTTAAAAAATGTCAGGGCAGGCTGATTTCCATCACACAAATATTTTCCCAACACACACTAACTCCAGAGTCCATCCTCGGCCCACGCCTGCGTTTACAGGTAACGAAACCAGCCATGGAAAGATGACTCTGATAGTCAGCGACAAAGAACAGAACTCTGGTTCAAAGCAGCGACTGACGGCCGACTGTCTGGCTCCCGTCCTGGCTCCGCCCCCATCACCTGAGGCAGCTACCTGCCTCTGGGCACTTCAAGCTGCTCACCTACACCATGAGGACAAGAGTGAACCTGCTCCTCGGTTATGAGGAGGATTGAAAGGGTCAACACACAAAATGCCTAGATCAGAGCTTAGCACGTAAATGCTCGCTGGGAATTAACTATTAAACAGGATCTCGCTTTGGGGAAACTGCAAAGTACATATAACAAAGTACCAATAACAAGATAAAGCCGTGCATGTTTATCTAAAAATGACAAAGAAAAGGAACAGGAGACGCCTCGGGAGACGGGAAGCGGTGGACACCTTCTTCTCTAAAAATCAATAAAGACATATTTTAAAAGAAAGAAAGTTGAACCATTTCTAAAATCTCACACACACATGAAAAAAAACCTGTTTTAAATGCCCAACATGAGCAAATTATCACCTTAAATGTAACTCACTTCCTGCCTGTAGGTGACATCACTGAGAAAAGTACCTTATTTGCTCCGAACTGCACCCTGGCTTTGCCTTTGACGAGGGTGGCGTTGATCTGCATGATGACGGACTCGATGGAGTAGGCGCTGCTCCAGCCCTGCGGGGGGAAAGCTGCTCTCAGCGCGGGAAAGCCGACGGCAGCCGGCAGCACTCAGCAACCGCAGATGAGCACTGAGATGTTTGTGCTTATGAGGCGAAAGAAAAGCTCAGCCCTGGCCCGTGTGGCTCAGTGGATAGAGCGCCAGCCTGCGGACTGAAGGGTCCCAGGTTCGATTCCTAATCAGGGCACAGGCCCAGGTTGCGGGCTCGATCCTCAGTGGGGGGCGTGCAGGAGGCAGCCGATCCATGATTCTCTCTCATCATGGATGTTTCTCTCTCTCCCTCTCCCTCCTTCTCTAAAAATCAATAAAAACATATT